GTGGTCAATGTGGGGTGGGGGGGCGTTCCTGGTCGCGCGGCGTTGGGCCCGCCCCCGGGCGCGAACCAGACGGCCGGCGCTTCCAAGAGAGAGAGAGAGAGAGAAAGAGAGCGAGAGAGAGAGAGAGAGCGAGGGAGCGAGAGAGAAGTATAAACAGAGACAAAGAGAACGAGAAAGAGAAAGAGAGAGAGAGAGAGAAACAGAAAAGGGTGATCCTGCAGGGTGTTGTGAATTCTAGACGCACCAGCCCATCTAGAAACGGTTTTTCGGCGAGATGCGGTGATCAGGGAAGTGCGGGAGCAAAGAGGTGGACGGCCGAACCGTGCGAAGGAGGGAGGAGGAAAAGGAGGAGACTGGATGGATGGATGGGGGAGTGGGCATAAGGAATATGAGTAGGATGAGCAGGGTGAGTAGGAGTAGGAGTAGGAGGAGGAGGAGGAGGAGGAGGAGGAGGAGGGAGGAGGAGGAGGAGGAGGAGGAGGAGGAGAGGAAGGAGGAGGAGGAGGAGGAGGAGGAGGAGGAGGAGGAGGAGGAGGAGGAGGAGGAGGACGAGGAGGAGGAGGAGGAGGGGGAGGAGGAGGAGGAGGAGGAGGAGGAGGAGGAGGACGAAAAGGATTAGGAGGAGGAAGGAGGAGCTGGAGGATGAGGGCAAGGAAAAGGGCTAGAGGTCTATTGGATGCCTTTCGGAGCCTCTTGGGATATCTCTTGGGCGCTTCTTGCGGGCCTCTCGGGGTGTCTTGGGGGTCCCTCGGCGGTCCTGGGGGGCTCTTGGGCGTCTTGGGTGCTTCGGTGGGGCCTCGTGGGGCCGCTTGGGGTCCTCTTGGGGGCCTCCGGGGGGCCTTGGGGGGCCATCTTGGGGCCATCATGGGGCCATCTTGGGGCCTCTTGGGGCTTCCTGGGCGCCTCTTGGGGCCATCTTGGAGGAGATCGATCAGAGAGGGTGGGAGCTTTAATTAGCCTTGTCCCTCGGGAGCCCCCAACATTCCTTCTTTGGCCTCTCTTGCAGCGCTCTTGGAGCGCTCTTGGAGCGCTCTCGGGGCCGTCTGGGGCCTCTCTTGGGGTCCTCATGGGCCTTCTTGGAGCTCGGAAGGCCATCCGGAAGCGAAAAGGCGAGAAGGCGCAATTCATTGATATTACCTAGGTTGTTGACGGATTTTTGGCTTCTCGGCGGCCTCCTTGGGAGGTTCCGTGGCCGCTCGGAGCCGTCTTGAAGCGGCCCTCTTGGAGCATCTTGGGAGCCATCTTGACGCATCTTGGGATATCTTGGGCAATCTTGGAGGTCATTTTGGGCTCTGTGAGGCCCTCTTGGAGCCATTTTGGGCCATCTTGGACGCTCCAACGACCCGCGAAACGCCCCGTCCAGGTCCAGGGGAGGCGGTAAGGGGGAGGGATGAGCCCCTCCTGGAAGGGGAAGAGGGAGGGGTGGAAGAGGAACCGCCCTAAACTACCTACTTCCAGAGGGCTGGTAGGATTTTGCCAATGTGCCGTCTGTTCTTTTCAGATTGTTCAGGGGATGTCCAGGAGGGTAAGTCCTGGGGGCCGAGGCTTTCAGTGGTCCAGGGGGCTCGCGCGTCGATTTGGCGGAGAGTGATGCAGCGTGTGGGGCGAGAGGGCTTCCCTGGGTTTACTCGGGCCCCTGCCCACCTGGAGCTCCATGACTTCGTGATGAGACATCCAGAATGTTTGTATCGAAAATAGGGGTCTTGTCGCATGCCCTCCCGAGTCTATCGCGACTGCCTTGTCGAACTAGTTGGCGAAGCACAATCGTGAAGCTTCTTTTGCGGATTGTTGCGCAGCTTGCTTCGTCGGCGGGCGTTGTGAATCCAATGGTCCTGGAGTCGAGGCGCCACGTCGGGGGTCGGCCCCTTGGGGTTCAAGCGGAGAGACCTTTCCCCTCCGTGGTCCTTGTGTTCCAGGAGCATGGGCTCCAAGTTTGGGGTTTGCTGGCGCCACCCCGATTCGGAGACCAGAGGCCGTCGAGTTGGCGCTTACGGCGGAGGTTTCTTCTGACGCTGGTGGTTCGGGGCCGTCGAGTGGTCCTGGGAGCGTGGGCGTCCTGGAGCCTATGCGTTATGCTCGGGTGAAGTTCGCCGCTTTGGGGCACGGCATAGGCTGGATTGGGCCTTGCATGTTTTGCTTCAAAGGCGGGGCTTACTGCTCGCAGGGTCTGGGGCCTCTCCTCCCGAATCGTTGTCGGGAGCGTCTTGAATGTAGGCTCAAGATGGTTCTGGAGCGCATGCTGGCTGGCACGCCGCCCGAAGTCTGGGGAGGCCTCGTAAACTCGTTTGCGGTTTGTTTTGAGTTGGTCTGGATGGTGAGCGTTGTGGCTGCACCCTGGTGCTTTTCCTTAGTGTCGTAGTGCAGTCAGGCCCCTTGGTGGCAACTACATTGTTATTATCCTTGTTATCCCGCTCATCCCCCGTTCCCCCCCCGTTTCTCCCCCCTCCTCCCCGCTCCTCACCCCCGTCCCCCCTCCTCCCCCTAGCCCTTTTCCTCTTCTTCATTCCGATCATACTCTTCCCTCTTCCTCTCCTCCGCGCCTCCTTCCTGCGCCCCCCTCCTTCTTCACCCCACCCTTCCTCACCCCTGCCTTCCCCCATCTTCTCGCTCTCTCCTCATCCTCCTGTCCTAGGGGCCCTCATGGGACTCTCTCTTGCGGCTTACTTCGGCTTTCCTGCGCTTCTGACAGGTTCCTGGCCCAGAGCGGCGTCGTTGCGTGCGGTCTGGGCCACAATCCCAGGCTACTCGCGCCATCGGGCCACCGTGCTCCACAGGGTAGTGACTCCAGGAAACTGGGCCCACCAACGGGGTTCAGGCGCCCCGGAGCCATGTTACCTAAAGTCTTCCTCCCTCTCCTCCTCTTCTTCCTCCTCATCGGTATTATCATCATCATCATCATCATCATCATCATCATCATCATTATCATCATCCTCAGAATCATCCTCAGCATCATCATCACCATCATCACCATCATCATCAACACCATTACCATTACCATTACCATTACCATTACCATTACCATTACCATTACCATTACCATTACCATTACCATTACCATTACCATTACCATTACCATTACCATTACCATTACCATTACCATTACCATTACCATTACCATTACCATTACCATTACCATTACCATTACCATTACCATTACCATTACCATTACCATTACCATTACCATTACCATTACCATTACCATTACCATTACCATTACCATTACCATTACCATTACCATTACCATTACCATTACCATTACCATTACCATTACCATTACCATTACCATTACCATTACCATTACCATTACCATTACCATTACCACTACCATTACCATTACCATTACCATTACCATTACCACTACCATTACCATTACCATTACCATTACCATTACCATTACCCTTACCCTTACCCTTACCCTTACCATTACCATTATCATTACCATTACCATTACCATTACCATTACCATTACCATTACCCTTACCCTTACCCTTACCCTTACCATTACCCTTATCATTACCATCATCATCATCATCATCATCAGCATCAGCATCAGCATCATCATCAGCATCAGCATCAGCGTCAGCATCAGCATCATCTTTGTCATCATCATCACCATCACCATCATCACCATCACCATCATCATCACCATCACCATCATCAGCATCATCATCACCATCACCATTATCTTCGTCCAGGTCCGCCCTGCCGCCCCCGTTTCGCTCGCCCCTCTCACGCTTGATTGATTGTTCGGTTCCGCTCGTACGGTTCCGCTCAGCAAATCCGCCAGTCACTGCGACGTCTTCACCACTGTGAGGCACACCTGATGCGACTAGGGTGTGGTTGCTTTGTGCGGCTTCTTTTATTCTTGTCTGCCCGTGCTCCCGCGCCGGGACAAGGACAAGCCGTCTTTCCGCCCGTGCTGTCTCTGGCCGCCCGTCCCTCTCTGGGGTGGCAGGCTTAGCCGCACGGCCCCGGCTGCGATCGATCGCCTCCGTTGCCTCCCCGACGTTTGCACGCTCGGTGTGCTGCCGCGGACTCCTCCAGTGTGTCTGTCAGCGTGTTCACGCCTGTGCGCGGTTCTGTCTGGCAAGTTTGGACTGACCGTTTTGCTGTTCCGTTTTCCTGATGTTGCGCAGGGGAAAAGTCATCAGCAGCAACATTTTCTTTAACATCAACGCCGCCATCCGCATCGCTGTCATCGTCATCACCATCACCATCACCATCGTCGTCATGCTCGTCATCGTCGTCGTCGCCGTCGCAATCGTCATCGAAGTCATCATCGTCATCATCATCATCACCATCATCATCATCATCATTGCCATCGGCCTCGCCGTCATCGTCATCACAATCGTCATCTTCAAATAGCCATCGCCGCCGTCGTTGTCATTAGCAGCGTTGCCGCCGTCATTGTCGCCATCATCGTCACCAGCGTCGTCATCATCGCCACCGCCATCATTATCGTCACCGTCGCCGTCATCATCGCCGCCGTCATCATCGTTAGCATCATCGTCTTTATCCCTGCTCCTTCCTCTTCTTTCCCCCGTCCTCCTTCTTCCCCCCCCGCCACCCCTGCCCCCTCTCTCCTGTCCCTGGGGTCCAGGTGCCGGGGCTCTGAAGCCCGCGCGGAGCGCCGCCGCCGCCGCCGCCGCCGCCGCCGCCGCCGCTTGCCGCCACCGCCGCTCGCCGCCGCTCGCCGCCGCTCGCCGCCGCTCGCCGCCGCCGCCGCCGCCGCCGCCGCCGCCGCCGCCCAGTCGGGCGCGGTGGGCGTTTCCGCATGGTAGGTTCGCGTTGCGCCGACAAACGTCGGCCCCCGCCCCCGGCGTTGCCGCCTGCGACCCAGAGTCGTTCGACGTTGAACGAGCGGGCGTTTCGGAAACGGCCGATCTTGCCAGGCTGAGCGATTCCCGCGGTGTCAGAAGCCAACGCCGAAGTCGGCACGACACGGGACTTGCTGCGTCCATGCCTCTCGAGCCTTGCTCGGTCTGCCCCCCCCCTGGCAGGACCACCTCTACCGGCATGGGCAGTCCCAGTGCGGCTGGCCGTGCTCCATGTACAAGCAGGGCCAGAGGGTCGAAGAAGTCCCGGCCCGCGCGCCCCGCCCCGCCGCCGCCGCAGGTGCCGCCGCCGCCGCCGCCGCCAAGAAGCTCCCAGGAGGCCCCTGGAGGTTTCCCAGTCCCCAGGAAGCCCGAAGAGGCCCCCCAAGGCTCCCAAGAGGCCCCCAAGAGGCTCCCAAGAGGCCCCAACATTTCTCCCGAGAGGCCCCCGAAAGACTTCCCAAGAGACCTCAAGAACCATCCCTGGCCAACGTCAGCGTCGTCGTCTTTGCCACCGCCACCGCCGCGGTCGTCGTCGTCGTCGTCGTCGTCGTCGTCGTCGTCGTCGTCGTCGTCGTCGTCCTCCTGCCTCTGCTTTTGCTGCTGATGCCCGTCCTCCTCCTTGTCCTCCTCGTCGCTTTTCCCTCTTGCCTCGTCGTCTTCCCTTTTTTCCCTTTCCCCCTCTGCACCGTCCCTCCCCCATCCGACTCCTCGTCGTCGTTCTCCGCCCCCCCCTCCCGTTGTCGCCGCCGCCGCCGTCGTCGTGTCGTCGCCGTCCTCTTTTGCCTCCTTTTAGGTCCTCATGCTCCTGTCTTCTGGTCCTCTTCTCTCGCCAACATCCCCCCAGCGGAAGCGGAGGGGGGATTGGCGCGAGGGAGTGCGAACAGGGAGATGGGGGAGGGTGGTAGAGGAAGGCGATGAGGAACAGGATGCGGTGCCTAGGCAAGGACTGTCTACACCCATCGCGCCAGGATAGCGCGACCACAAAGTACATCAAAACAATATCGACTGCTTCCGTCCCCCTACCCACATTTTTGGATTGGGCGCGAGGCCTCCCGCGAGGGACAAATTCTAAACGCTTCGCGTAACCTCACCAGCCCTCAGCAAAGCCCATCGGCGGACAGCTCTGACTCCAGCCGCGAGGATACCGCGACCTCAGCCGGGGAGGAAGCGCCCTACGCCGATCGCAGTAGCGATCCAGCCCGGGATCCCGCGAGGGACGAGAGAGCCCGCGACCGAGTTGGCTCGCGGTCCGAGCGCTCTCCCGCGCCCACCCCGCAGCTCCCTGGACAGAGTCGCTATCACCCTCGCCATACGGGTACATCGGAGCAGGATGCACTCAACCGGCTGACCTGTCCGGAAGGGGGCTGCCCCATGTACAAAGTTTGGTTGGGCACAGTTGACCTCGAACGTCCCAACGAGACTCCAGCCAGACGCACAGCCAGGCTTCAGTCGGAGTTGGGCGCAGTCTTCTGCGCGCTGTGGACAGCAAACACGCAGCGTACTTGGCTCCCTGGATCCAGGGCGCCCAAATCCGACCCGAAACTGCACACGGCCACGGACATCAACAAGTTTCTTGATGCCTGGAAGGGCTGCGGGTATGACGCCTACCAGATCAACACGAGGCTGGGCTATGGTATTGACTGGGATAGGCTACGAGCCAACTACCTGCGACACTCCCGTACAGACGACAGGGGCAAAGGCAGCTACCACCAGACCGGCTGGCGTGACCGCGCGACAAGCTCCTGGGACACCTGGGGCAGCTGGCAGGGCGAGTGGAGCGACGGATGGCGTGAAGATCGCTGGCAGATGGGTGGCAAATGCGGCGGAGGTTGCTCCGACGATCGGGACGATAGAGACGAAAAGAGGCTCCGTTGGAGAGACTGAGCTCACTCCACACTCTCTCCCCGCCCCCAGTGGCGGCCCTCCGCCGTGTTCGTTCTCCAACTGTGGGGCAGCACCACTGCCACCTCCCCTGGACGGCACTCCTCCTACTTTTGGACCATGGTGTGCCGCTCAGTAATACCATCTGCACTCTGCGTGACAGTGCGCATCCTGCAGACCAACGGGCCACTGGCCCCGCTGCCTTTACTCTACCGGTGGCCGCTGCATTCCCGCCAGGCTCCCTTTGTCCTCTCCGGCTGTGTTTCACACCCTGAAATCCTCTCTGGCGCTGCCTTGGGCCGCGCCGCGAGCCTCCTCAATTGCGGCGCTCTGCCGCCCTCCTCCCGATGCGCGCACCTCCTGCCTTTGGATTCAGGTGCGCGCTTCGGTAATACCGTCCACAGCCTCCCCGCTGTTGGACTCGCGGCCTCTGGCCTTACTGTAGGTCTTTCACCGCCAGGCGTGTCCTGGCCCGCGTCTGTGTGCTCTGGCTTGCCCGTCCACAGGCCCACTCCCTGGATTTCTTAATCATCGAACGGCCTTCCGCCGTGACCCTGGATCGAAGTGACTCAGAGGGACGCGTCTTGGGTATGCGACGGTCTCGTCCCTCGGGTGCTATCCGGCTCTTTCATGGGTAGCGCTGAGACACTTTGGATGTGCACTCGGCACGTGGTCTACCGTGTATCGTGCACACTACGGCGCCCTCCCACTCGGTGGATCTGGGCTTACGCATCTCAGTTGTGGAAGGTTTCCTGCCTACAAGTTTCCACGCCCTGGATGCGTGTTCTGGCGTCGCGACTTTGATCCGCCGTCAGGCTCTTCCGCTGGGCTTGTGTCCCCAGTCAGTCTGTGTTACCCGTCAGACTCCCTGGATCGACGTCCTCGGGACCGTTCCTGCTGGTTCGTATCCGAACTGCTGGGAATGCCCACGCGCCATTTTGGCTGCGCTCGGCTTCCTCGGTGCCTGTCTTCAGACTCCCTGGATGCGCCGCTGCATGTCTCGTTCAGGGGCTGTTCTTCCGGCTCCCTGGACTGCTCGCTGGCTTTGACGCCCTGGGGCGCTGCTGCCTTCCGCCTGACCGCGGCCCGCGCGCGCCCGCCGTTAGTCGCGGCCGCGGCCTGCCCGCGACCGCCCGCCGCTGGCGCTTCCGCCTGCGGCTGTAAAAAATAAAGAAGTAACCTCGCCAGCGTCCGTAGCCTCGGCTCTAGCCTCGGCTCAAGCTGCGTGGCCGCCAGGAGGCCCTCTTCCCCCAATCACTTTTCTCACGTATACATCTTCTCCCCTCGCTTCTACTGGGCCGCCGTGTCAGGCTGGTGTCAGCCAGCGCACCTGCGCGCTGGCTGTGCCCGGGCCGCTGCGATGTCGTGGCGCTGGGACTCGTGGGAGCGCTGGCGCGGACACGATCAGTATTCCGATCGACGGGAATGGGGGGAGGGGTACTCCCGCCCTAGTCGAGATGCTAACAATGGACACCGCGCAGATTTCCGTGACATCGCTGACAGGCAAGGTCGTCGAGCGGGACATCGAGGCGATCGACGCCATGAACAACATGAAGGTTCCCGCCGTCTTGCAGGTCACCGCACTGGCGCTCATCATGATGGACTTCGAGGTGAACGACGTCACCGACATCAGGGAAGCGCTGGCTGTCATGCGGATCCCCGCGCTGACGTTGAGAGGCAAGAACGCCGCACTGGACGCCGAGACGAGCGACAGCATCGACTGCATGAAGACACCGGCCGTGGTGCAGACCTTTGTGCTGACGCTGACCGGCAATTTCATCACGCTGGACACCGATGCGAGCGAAACCATTGACAGCAGGGCGGTTCCAGCCAGCATGCATCTCCACGTGTTGACGCTGGCGCGGACGCCGTGGTGACGTTGGCGCGGACGCAGGTTGCTGATCCTCGCACTGGGCTGACTCCTGCCGAGGAGGAGTACATTGCGCAGGCGACCTCAGCCGCTCATCAGGAAGACCCCTTTGCAAGCATCGACCCGCAGAGCGATGGCTGGCGACAGCAGGGGGTGCATGCGCCTCCTTCTGGACCCGCGCCGTCAGCGACGCGAGTGCCCCATCGTGGCAGGGGCGGCGTGGATGGCACCGGCGACGTTGGTGACGGTCAGGGCCCCCCGACCGCCCTTGCGTCAGGGACTGCCTGGGGACCAGGGTCATCAGCATCGAACGGCATGGCTTCAGACAGCGGGCAGGCTTCAGACGCGCACGAGTTATTGAGGAAGATGCAACATTTGTACGAGGTTCACCGTCCGTCCAAGCTCGGGTCTTTTGATGCGTTGGCAACAAGATACAAAGCTTGTGAGAGAAAGTGGCACGCTAAGCTTCATTGAATCGCTTCGCTCATTCCGCCGGCCCGTGATATGGCATCGCTGGTTTTTGTCTGTGTGTTCGTTGCCCATGTTGCGCTCTTGGGGGCGGGTGTCGTTCGGACGCGTTGCGTGGGGAGTTTTGATGGTGAAGCAGTTCCCTGGGGGTCGTCTCTCGATGGGGCGAAATAGAGTCGTCGTCAAGATGCTTCTTTGGGGGGCCTCTTGGGGTCTGTTGAGAGGCCGTTCGGGGGCGCCTGGGAGACATGTTTGAAGCCTTCTGGGGCTTCTTTTGGGCCTCCTGGGAGTCTCCTGGGGCCTCTTGGCGACATCTTGGGGCCTCTTGGAGGCCTCTTGGGGCCTCTTTGGGACCTCCTGGGCGCCTTCTGGGACGGAGGGCTCCATTTTTGAGTTCTCGGTATCCCTCCTGAGTCCCTCTTGGGCCCGTCTTGGGGCCTCTTGGTCCGTCTTGGGCGGCACTTGGGCCGTCTTGAGGGCTCTCTTGGGTCGTTTCGGCGCCGTCTTGGGAGCTTCGTGGGCCGTCTTGGAGCGGTCTTGGGGGCCTCTTGGGCCGTCTTGGAGCGTCCGGAAGCCGAAAAAGCCAGAACACAAAAAACATCGAACAAAAACAATGAAAATCAACGATTTTGGCCTCTTGGGGCTCTCTTCGGAGGCCTCTTGGAAGGCTCTTGGGGCGTCTTGGAGGCCTCTTGGGCTGTCTTGGGGGCCTTTTGGGCCGTCTTGGGGTCATCTTCGGCGTCTTCGAGCGCTCTTTGGGCGTCTCGGGGGCCTCTTGGGCAGTCTTGGGGGCCTCTTGGGGCACTCTGAGCGCGCTCTGGGGAGCCTGAGAGGCCGCACCGGGAAGGAAAACCATCTCTGAGTAGACTCGGTCGGGCGGCGGTCGGGGTACTTTTCGCCGGGGGACCCCCAGGGGCCGCCCCGCGCGCGCGAACTAGAAATACTGTTAATACTGTTAACCAGTTACCGGAGATCTTAGCGCGCCCTGGCCCGTTGGGCCGGCGAATAATCGCTACGTGGTGAAGCCACGTCTTACGCCCTTGGCAAA